GTTTTCTTCATTCTAGAAACCAATTGAGTCTCGCCAAATTTTATAAAGTATATCTTATAATCAGTATACAACTTACAGATGTCCTTAGATATCACTAACGTAACTTGAGCAAATATTGTCATAACATAACAATTCTTCAAAGTTACTGGCTATATTTCGTATCCGTTCTAAAACTTCAATAGGAAATACAACTTAATTGGATTTATTTGTAATTATAAAAAAAAGCAATTTACAGGACGTTTACAACGAATATCAACAATCTAAGTAAAAGTGAAATATTTCATTATAATTTTATTGGTCTTTGGCCAGATGTTTTCCGTCCAAATCAATCAACTATTCATCGTAGCGATCCATTAGTAATTTTCATTAGAAAGTTATATAGATCAGCTATTTAATTAAAAATTTATTAGAAAACGATTTTAATCTTTTAAAAAAGACAGTATTTTGGCATGATTTTGACTTAATCTCTTGAGATTAATGATTGATCTCATTTAGTTTTTGTTTGAGTTTAAACTATCTTAACTCATTATATTAAGATTAGCCAGTTAAGAATGACTTCATATAACTAATGACAACTAAACGATGTTTGTTTATTTTTTATCCATTGTGTGGCGATAATATGATCATCAACAAGAAACAGAATAATCTTCAGTAACATGAAATAAATTAAAATTAATATAGATCTCTAATTATCATGGAAGATTATGGAATTATGAATTAAGTTCGCGTGCATTTATTGTTGAAAAAAAGTTTTAATGTTTGACATACTACCCTTTTATGTCGTATTTGAAATGTTGAATATTGAAGAACTCATTATTTTGAATTATTGAAACTATTTATAGTTACTTATATTTCGTACTTGTCATCATATTTGATGTAATTATCACCACGTTGATTATTTAGTTTTATTTTGCTCAATAAAACATACCAGAATGAATTTTCTATTCATGTAACAAATATTAATTTTTACAAAATATAATATTCATTCGGGTAAGTTCGATATATAATTTTCTGGCTAATTCCGATATGGAACCTTAACTGAATCCTGTAGGATCTCTGTTGTTTGAGACAAACAAATTCGATGTAAGTATCCGATGGATTTCTACATGAACCGACAGTTTCCGATGGCTGTAATTGGACGGATCTATTATGGAATCCGGTGTTGTGTGAACTGTAAATTCCGACTGTTTCTTGGCTTCGGATCCTTCTGGATCTGGTCGGAGCCTGTGGGATCCGATTAACGGATATGGAAGGGAAAAAACGGATAACGTCGGAATCCGACAACGTATATCCGATCGAATCCGGTGACCTGAATTACAACGGATTTAGTACCCGTCCGACGGGATCCGATGTACCCGTTTCGACCTGGGGCAATTAATAATGGAAAATGTAGTGAATTAGGAGTTTATTATGTTGTTTATCAAGTATATAGTGCAATTTCTCTTGGTTTAATTCCACCAATACTAATGAGTGCATTTGGGTTTTTAGCTTATTATAATATGAAAAAACTACATTTACGTGTGCGAGCAATTGGTAATAATGGCGATCATAATGGTGGAATTCATCGTCATGATCGTGATCTATTATTAATGGTATTAACTGAAGTGGTTGTTTATGTTTTGACAGCAACTCCATATCCATTTATTCTTCTAGAAATTGCAGTCACAAATTATATGTGTGTTGTTAAATCTGCTGAACGTGTTGAAATTGAAAATTTTCTTAATTCTATTACATTGACACTTTTTTATCTTACTAATGGTTCTCCTTTTTATACATATTTTGCTGTATCAAAAGCATTTCGAAAAGATTGTAAGACACTTTTTATGAGATGGAGAAATCGTGTAATTAGACCATTAACTATGAATCAAATTCCAAGAGCCAGACAACTGCAAATATAACAATATATATTTGGGAAAACACTAACATTGTAGAATAGTTTTATTTTTATGGAATAAAATAATACGGAATTCTTAAGAAGATTTTAATAATAATATATATTTCTTTTATTTAAAATAAAAAATAGAACAAACAAATTTTCGTTTTTTTTTGTATCAGATAAAGTTCATCGAATCCATATTTGAATAATACGATGGTAAGTTGTATCCCTTGATATGATAGATGTTGATGGTAATTGTTGATATAACCAATTAAAAACTTCATTTTCTAGTAGCTCGGCACCATCTAAATAAGATCCAGCATCATCGTCACACATAACATTCAATGCTTTGAGATTAGGCATATTATTGACAAGATCAAGCATTATTTGCCGAGTTGTAACTTTGATATTAAGTGTTTCACACTGAATAGCTAATGGCGAATGAAACAGTTGAACACATTGTTTTTCACAAACACTGGGACTTACATACCAAGAGCTATACTGAGTGCCTCCTCGTATATCTAGTTGCCGAACTGAAGCACATGTAATTTCCTTGAATGGTATATGTGAATTGAATGCGGACAATGGACCAATACAAAGTGAATAAAGAAAAGGTGTTCGATCAAGAATAAATTGTAAATCTGATTGAATATTATCAAGATTTTTGTTTTTCATTTACGTAAACGTAGAGCGAATTTAATTGATCAAGATTGGGAACAACTGAGAAAAATTGTTCAGTTATTGGAAATGTTAATGTAAGTGATCGAATATTATTAACACGAATACGAGATAAAATCGAATCCGTAAAATATGAGGATCCATACTGTAATCTATCGATCTGATTACGTATTAAGTGTTCATTATCATATGGATAAGTTGATTTTGTTAAAGCACATTCAGGAGAACCATCAAAATAATGAAAAATGTAAGGTAAAGTAAAAATATTAACATAACTAGGTTCGTGTTCTTTATCTGTAATATACCAATTACATCGAATAAATCGTTGATATTCATTTTTCGACGATATTTCCTGTTACCAAATATCCACGGCATGTAGATAATGCATAGGTATCGATTGTTGAATAACGAATTTTCGATTGTTCGAAATCAACTAGTACACTTTGTGGATCATCAACTTCTTTGTATCGTATTCTATTGTTATATGCTATGTAACACGTTTCTCTTGCAGTTGACATTATTGTCGAATTGATGAGAAGTTAGCACCATGAAGCTAGCACTACGAAATAAAGAATAATATAAAAATTTATATAGAAAGGAATTCCCGTTCTTAGCAATGAGTCTGTTCGATGCAGAAATAAATTCTGTATCGAATGGTGATATTTTTATTCACGGGAAAACGATTGGGAAAATTTCATCAGGATTTTTTTCTTCTACACATATATGTATAGGAGAAAAGTAAAGATCTAGGTAAAATTTTCCCCAATCGTTTATCCATTAATAAAAGAGTGTGGGTGTGCACTGAAAACAAAAAAGGGTTTATACGAAACTAAAAAAAGGTTTCGATGTTTGCAACGAATTCGAAACCTTTTTTCGGTTTCGTATAATCGAGATTCCGTACCATACTCTGGTCAAACCTACATGAAAAATGGTTTCGTGGTCTAGGTTTCGTACAAACCTATTTTTCAAGAGTTAATAAAAGGGTTTCGTAATCAAAACCTAGTGCAATTCAGTCTCTAATTTCGCAAAATGCACTATTCAAGACTGTTTCCTATTCTGAAGGAGTTCTGATACCAAACTGCCGTTTGGTTCCGAAGATTTAAGAAATCTTCTTGTGAACTAAGTATAAGATATTCATTTCTGTTATTTTAAGTAAGCATTGTTTACAAAGCAATAGCATTTATTAACTTACTTATATAATTCTGCCGTGCAACAGTAAAAGATACACTTCTCCCTGGCTTTTCTCTGTATAGAAGAAGATCATTTGAATTATTCTCAATGGTGAAGTTGAGATTGTGATCATCTAAATGAAAGAAAATAGAATTAGTTTTATAGAAGTACTTTGCTTACCAACTAAATTATTTCTTGTATCATTTTGAACAAGTAGAATTAGTTCATATTAAAGCGATTCAATATTCATAAATCCATTCTTCGGATCAATCTAAATGTAAAAGAAAAGAGTTAATTTATATTAACATAATAATTGATTAATAAAATTATTCTTTCGACCGTTCTAAATATGGAAAAACAATAAGATTATATAAAATATCAACTTATCCGTAAAATTATTCTTTGAATCAACCTAAATATAAATGAAAAATTTAATTGAATTTGAAATAAATAATTACCTTTAGCTCTGTTTCTTTGGTTCATCCTAAACATAAAAAACAATTCAGTTTATATTTAAATATTCACTTACATATAAAATTATTGTTTAAGTAAGCCTAAATGCAGAAGAAGACATATAATTTATAATAAAATACTTATTTACACGTAAAATTTACCCTTTGAATGAACCTAAATATAAAAGAAAAAATGAATTAAACTTGAAATAAATAATTACCTTTAACTCTGTTCCTTGGTTCATCCTAAACATAAAAAACAAATCAATTAATGTTTAAATAATCACTCACATATAAAATTATCGTTTGAGTAAATCTAAATGTAGAAAAAGATACATAATTTATAATAAAATAGTTACTTACACATCAAATTTATTCTTTGGATCAATCTAAATATGAAAGAAAAAATGAATTGAATTTAAAATAAATAATTACTTTTAACTCTGTTCCTTGACTCATCCTAAACATAAAAAAAAGAATTCAATTTATATTTAAAGAATCACTTACATATAAAATTATTGTTCAGGTTAGCTAAAATGCAGAAGAAGATATATAATTTATAATAAAATAGTTACTTATATATAAAGTTATTCTTTGAATCAACCTAAATATAAATGAAAAATTTAATTGAATTTGAAATAAATAATTACCTTTAACTCTTTTTTTTGGTTCATCCTAAACATAAAAAAGAAATTCAATACATATTTAAATTATCACTTACATATAAAACTATTGTTTAAGTAAACCTAAATGTAGAAGAAGATAAATAATTTATATTAGAATAGTTACTTACACATCAAATTTCTTCTATTGAGCAATCTAAATAGAAAAGTACTGAAAAGTTTCAGAATTATGGACACTGCTGAATTTGCTGTTGATTTTGAAAATTGGATGTACAATCTGTTTTGAGATGTTTTGAAAGCTTCGAAACACTTCCACGATATTTTGCTTTTGTTTATGACAATTTTCTTAATTTTTTTAAAAGATTGACGAAATTAAATCAGATCGATTTTATTTCGAGAAGAAAATGTAAATGGATGATAAGAGTAAAAAGCCCAAATATAGTTAGATAGAAAGGAGAAGATATTTATTGAAACAGCTTCTGCTTTAGTCTGATAAACGTAATATAGATAGAATTAATCAACGAAAAGTTTGCATACTCATATAAATAAAAAACTGAACAGAAATATTTCTAGTTAATTTGTCTTTTAACTCGTGTACGTTTTACACGTAATGCTATTGGTTCTTCGGAACTAGCAGGACGTTTTTTTGCTCGACAAGTTTTTTATTTGAGATAGTTGATGATTCATCAGTTGATGTTGATGATACCTGCTGTTTGATATTTACTGCATATAAAGTGTTGTCGTTCGAAGATAGTGAGGATGCTATTTGTCTTTGTTGTTCTTTTGCTAGTGAAATGTGAATAATAAATGGAAGATCAATTGGTGATAATGAAGAAGAAGAATCTGACGATTCTAATGAATACTCATTCATAAGATTCTTATCACCAATATATGTAGCTCTTGTTCGATTTTGAATAATACCTAATAATGCAATATAAATAATTCATTTTATTTCTTATACAATGAAAGCAGACCTGTTGTAATTTTGACATATTCTTCTTGTTCTTCACTATCTGGTAAATCATCAGTTTGATTATCTTCGACTTGTGTCACACATTCGACTGTAGCTGTAAGAGTTTTAGAATTTGTTGATTTCGTTGTTATCATATGACCACCTCCTTTATCTTCTCTTTTATCAATAATAAAATTCCATTGATTCAGTAAAATGTGTAGTGGTTTTGTTAATGCTCCAGATTGTTTCAATAGAATACCATATAACAATTGAATAATTCGATTGTGTATACCAAATTGTAATTCAAATATAACATATAATGAAATAACAATACATATAGCTTGATCAATTGATGATGTTTCACTAATAACTTCATAATCGAGAAAAATAATAAACTGATCTGTTGTTATTTGTATAGCTGGTCGTGGCGATAATGGTTCCTTAACGATAAAGAAAAAAATGTGGCCTTTTCTTTTTATAAAAAAAATAATCAATAGACATAATTAGCCAGTTGATTATGTGATGATTTTAGTTTTCAAAGAGATTTATTACGTACTTTATTCGATATGATTTGTTGCCATGAATCAGTAAAATACTTG